AAACCGACGATGTAAAAATTAATATTTTTAGAAATCTTCTTTTTGTCATAATCCCAAGTGTTTTTATCGTAACAGTGATGATGTTAAATAATTCTAATCTAAAGTGTAATAATACTGAACATTTTGAATGAAAATGTTTATTCTTTTAAATTTTCTCTTTATCGTAATCCCAACTATTTTTACCGTTGTCAAATAATTCTAATCTAAAGTGTAATAACACCGAACGTTTCAAACGAAAGTGAATTTTTTCAGAAATTTTCCCTTTATCACAATCTCAAGTATTTTTATCGCAACAGCGACGATATTAAATAATTCTAATCTGAAGTGTAACAATACCGAACATTTCCAACGAAAATGAATTTTTTAAAAAATTTTTCTTATCAATTTTTCTATCGTTTCTATCACCGTCAAATAACTCTAATCTAAAATGTAACAATACCGAACATTTCCAATAGCTGATTGAAATTACAGAGATATTGCACTATTAGCATCGAACGTTTATTCATTATATACCTATACACACATATAGCTGTGAAATTTCAAAGATGTACACGTGCATCATTATCGGATTAATCTAGTCAATAATTTGTCTTCCTATCAGAATTCAGCGTTTGATCTAACACCGCACACGCATAGTGCTCTTTACCCATAATGAATAAATGCGGTTTCTAACATATGCACATAAGCCACTCTGTACATTCCGCCTCGCGTGCAATCAGCTCGTCAGCTGACATTTTTATTAGCCATGCAAGCCCCACGATTTTGTAATTTCCCGTGGCTCTTATCGGGTCAGTTGCGACAGAATTCCGACACACATATGTCGTATTCTGCGTGGAGAAATAAAATAGCGAATATATCTTCCGACCTCGTTATTGCATTATTAGAGATTACTATCGAATGAAATCAGTCATGTTGAAGCTCTACACCGTGATATATAACATACGGTAGGTACACTCGATTTTTCATTTTGTCATTAGCAATTTTGTTAGGACGAATAGGAAAGCTTATCTAAGATAAAATTCGAAATTTTTTTTTTGTATTGGGATTCATCTGTTGTTAAAGATAAATTGATAAATTTCACAATTTAACGTTTAATTGCAATGTGTAACAAATGGATATTAAACAAAGATTAGGTTAC